CAGAACATTCAGCCAAGGAGAAGCCACTTTTTCAGAGATGAAATCTAAGATACGTAACACTCAGTATGTGCCAGGCACTGACCGATCGGAACGGGAGACGCACACGCAGCTGGAGTGGACAGCTGAGCGCTCATCGGTCCTGCCGGTCTCTGAGGAGCTCACAGAGATGGCAGACAAAATGTGAGTCTACTGACTGACACCACGCCCGACGTGAAAGATACACGCGCTTGTTAGGACCCATGAAACATGTTTATTTGGAAACCGTCACAACATAGAAGCATACAGCGAGAAGGCAGTCGGTCTACATGCGGGCTACAGCCAAGTGAGTTCATCTGCCTCCAGGAACATCGTGGAGTGAGCAGGCCCCTCGATAGCCACAGGGACCCTCGAGCAGACGCTGGTTTTCTGAGCCTCTGACTTCTCTCTACTCAGTGGGATTGTGAGACATTGAAACAGAAAGGCCTTGAAAGGGTCGCTTTTGAGGAAAAGGTGAGTAGCAGTTACATTCTAGCAGCAAGAATAGCATCTTCTGTAGATAAATGGTCGATATCCACAGCAGCCAAAGCCACGTCCATAGCCACAGCCGTAGCCAGAGCCATAACCACAGCCGTAGCCAGATCCGTATCCACAGCCGTAGCCAGAGCCATAACCACAGCCGTAGCCAGAGCCGTATCCACAGCCGTAGCCAGAGCCATAACCACAGCCATAACCACAGCCGTAGCCAGAGCCGTAGCCACAGCCATAGCCAGAGCCGTAGCCACAGCCAGAGCCAGAGCCGTAGCCACAGCTACCGCATGAGTTTCCGTAGTAGTTACAACACATTGTGTCTAGAGGTGGGTTCGGCAGTTCAGTAGAGGAGCAGGTGGAGGTGTCTGAAGTCTGACTGTCATCTCCTGCCCTGGGACCTTTATATAGTCCCAGAAATGGGTGGGTCATCAAACACAGACTCTGTGGCCTCATTACCACAGCAATTTTCATTCTTAAAAAGTTCATCATTCTAAGGACAATTTTTTCAGCTGTGATGCCCAGCCTTTGGCCCAGCTAGTCATGAGAACTGTGACAAAACAGGCCACCCCACAGACTGAACAAGCATGCCTCTGGGATGTCATCACACCTCACATAGGCTTTCACTCGGGGCAGGAGTCCTCCTGCCCTCCCCGGGACCATGTGGGCACCAGGTGACGCTCCAGCACCTCACCCCTCGGTGTCCACTGGAAAGCACCTGGACAGAAGTGAGATGCAAACAGCAGGGGCACAGGTGAGGCACTCTCAGGTCATCCCTACCCAGACATGGACAGAACCCAGGAAGGACGACCACTGCAGTGGTGGACAGAGCAGGAGACAGGTAAGGTGGAGAAGATCTGAACTGGAGCAGGACAGGTGTCGGATGCAAACAGCCAAACAAAAGCAGCCGGGATATTGTTCAATGCAACAGAATCCACTCATTTGAGAGTTCTTGGAACTTTTTTATATGACACTTTCTTGGAAACATCATGCCCACTTACATCATCAAAATGTTATCTGTCTAAACTCCACTGATTCTTCAAAGCACAGCGTGGGCTACAACTCATCTAAGAAGCATCCCTGGACATTCACAGCATGCATTGGGCATAATTCCTCTGTCCTTCCACAGCCCCCGTGCCCAAGTCTACGGCAGCACTGAGTGTTCCATCAGCAGCTCTGCGTTAATCATCTGAGTCCCACAGTCAGCTGTGAGCTATTTAAAGCCAAAGACTCTGTCTTTGTTTTCCGTGAATCTAAAGACTTAGGCACTTACTACCTGCTGAATGAGAGCCCATAATATTTCCCACCCGTAAAAATTATTATTTTACTATAGAGGAAATAATATAAGAAAAATAATAATTATTATTATTATTATTATTTCCCTCTATAGCTTTTGAGGCACACGCACATTTTTTACTTCATGTGATGCTTACAAAAACAATGTAAATCCAGGAATTGTGTTACATTTATACACACACTACAGATGAGAAAACAGAGGCCAAGGATGGTTAAGTCTTGCCCAAAGACTCTTATGATTAGGGTTGGAATTGAATTAACTCAGCTCCTACTCTAACATAAAAGCTAGGGCAGAAATCCATGATTTTTCTTTGGTTTTTCAAATGCAAAATATTTACTTCATCTGACTAAAATTACATATATTTTGGAACGTCTGCCTTACATGCCTATCAGGTAGACTTCTTTGTGGTCTTCTCCATCCAAGTCCAAGCCTGGTGTCAACTTCAGGCAAACAACTCAGCCCTCTCACACCTGCTCCTTAACTTCCCATGTACCACATGGTGGAAAGGTAGCTTCTCTATCCACTGAGCAGAAAACCTTCTCAACACACTGCATGTTAATTCCAGAAACCACAGCATTCGAGTAAAAATGAACACTTTTCTAGACATCTCAAATTTTAGTCATTATAGGAAAAAAAGTACTCTAGAGATCAGCAACTTCCATGTCAAAATTAAAACCTCAAACTCCAGCCTGGCAGGTGTTGCTCAGTGGTTGAGCGTCGACCCAGGAACCAGGAGGTCACAGTTCGATTCCCAGTCAGGGCACAGGCCCGGGTTGTGGGCTCAACCCCCAGTAGGGGGCGTGCAGGAGGCAGCCAGTCAATGACTCTCTCCATTGATGTTTCTGTGTCTCTCCCTTCCTCTCTCTGAAATCAATAAAAAACATTCTAAAATAAATAAATAAAACCTCAGACTCCAGGTCCACCTCTTGATTACGACTGGCCCATTCTTACAGTTCTCTCCGTTCCTGCAAACTCCACACCCTTCCCACTGCCCACATCCCCGCTTTCTCCCCAGGTCAGCCTCCGCATGACCACATTTCCTGCATCATTCCTTTGACTGCTTTTCTCGACAGCGACTGAACAGCACAAGGAATTTTACAAGCATGTTTGAGGGCCTACATCATGCAGACACTATTCTTGGGCAGAGACTATCCAGTAAAAAATGTGTTTCTAGAGCTCGAGGGTGAGCACTGTGCTTTAGAAACGCTCTAGGGAGAGGGGGTCAGCATTTCATCAGCCCGGCCCTGTCTTTGCCCACAGGCCCCATGAGACGAGAGAGCTTGTAGCCTTTGCATTTCCCACCCACACGTTCATACACTGCGACCGTATCCGTGTTACCACGTCCCTTTTTTCACCAAAATCCTCATACCTTCTACCAAACCCATTGGAAACTTTTCTAGTAATTAATACAATTCGACGATAAAGTAAAAAGAGGGACCAAGTCACCAGAGAATAAGCAATTCCATTAACACCCACTGATTTCTTACTAAAAATACATTGACAATGTATTTGTTGGTATTTGTACATGTTGGTTTACTTGGAGTCAAGTCTTCCTTTTTCTCGACTTTCTCCAGAACACACACACATGCACATGCACACATGTACACACTCACACATGTGCACGCACGCACATATGCACATGCATGCACTCACACACATGTACACACGCATGTGCAGTTTTTCTGCTTTTATCGCCCCCTTCTCTTACATGACCACCACCTTCGCATTCAACTCTGCTCCAAGTCTCAGATATTCTTTGACTAAGAAAGGCCCAGCATTTCAGGTTTTGAAAACATGTTCAACTGTCGTGTGTGACAACCTGTTTCCTGGATATATAACTTATCTCACACGTGCCTAAACAATGACCTTTCCTTTTTACCAAAATGCCTTCCATGACAAGAAATATAAAACAATCAGCTAAATTTTCAGAGACCTGTAATTGTTGGGATTCCCGTCCCACAGTTACCCAGAGCACACTGGGCCCTCAGGTCTGACTTCCAGATGTGCCAGCTGTGGACTGTCCTGCCCCGGGAAGAACACCTGTTTCTTCCTCACCTGGACCAGCCACAGCCTGGGCAGAGCCTCATCCAGGGCCGACTTTGAGGGCAGGGCTGACCTTGAGGGCAGGGCCATCTTCCTTGGAGGTGACCATTCTGCCAGGTCTCCTGTCTCCAGGGGCCTCGGGGTCAGACTCCCTGCAGTGACCCTGTCACAGAGGTCACACAGTGACACATTTATCACTGTTGGTTGAACCCGAGTCTTAAGAGGCCTCTTCTGTTGTGGGATCTAAAGGTTAGCGTTCTGGAAGGTCCGTGAGAAAAGGGCACTTGCGTCAAAACCCAGCAAAGGAACGGGCTCCCCTACTCAGGGAGCCAGCCCAGCATTTTGATGCCATTCCCATGTCTGCCCACGAAGGCGCCAGGCCTGGCTCTTCTACAAATGAGAACACGGTGCCACCTGCACACACCCAGGACGTCACGGATTTCTCTCCACCTCTTACACCGGCTGCTGTCCTTTCTGACCTTTCTCTACAACAGGCGTCAGCTCATTGTCACGGCTTCAGACACCCTCCGAACGTCGCCTCTCACACTTCGACCTTCCTCGCCATCCCGTTAACCTGGTTCATTCCCTCCAGGGCAAGAACAGGTCTGTCTCAACTTATCTGAATGATCTTCGCAGCTGTTTTTCTATCTTTACCTAATAAAACATAAACACTGAGAAGACAACCTGTTGGTCCTCTCCCTGCTCTGTCTTCAGCGTGTAGGATGTGGCCCTTTCAAAAATATTTGTCCACCGGGCGACAAATCCGTTTCATCGACCTCCATAGATGCAAACAAATGTATCTGCACTTCCATCTACTGCGGATGGTACAATGGAGTATTTTTCTTCTAGTGTGTCTTTCTTTTCATGCTCCACTCCTCAAGCTTCACACCTTTGTCTGCTTCTGATTTCTCAGGAGCCCTGGAAACTGTCTTCCCCTTGAAGTGCCCCGGCCACATCGCCTCTCCAGGGACTGTGCACACGGCGCCTCCTGAGTACGGGCCGGTTTGCTTTTCCTTCCCCCCC